GATTTTAAAAGCCTAATTTAATAGTTTTTTGGGGAAAAACAGCTACTTAATTAAATTGTATTACTTGTCTTCTGGGACTGAGATGAAGAAAAATTAGACATGTAATCTCTTTGGGGGGTGTTTTGATGGATTGCCTGCATTTCTCTCACATGTCAGACAACAAGATGGCCAGTGTTTTTACAGGCTTTGTGCCTTTACCCTTGGAATTCTACAAAACAACAACAACAACAACAACAAAAACCATCTCTCAAGTTCATGTAAAACTTTCTTGGAATGAAATGCTCAACATGTGTGTCCAGAATTCTCTTTTCTGCATCAAATCAGAAAAAAATGAGTCAAAACTCATAAGGAATTTTCTATCAGCTAGTGTGACATTTAGGGAGGTAAGAGAAATCCCTGAAGCCCCTAGGGCACTATTTATTATTGCAAAAAAAAAACCAGTAGAGCCATTTTCTATGATACAGCTAATTCAGTCATTATTACAATAGGGATGCAATAATTGTAAAGCATTTCTCAAGAGCCTGACTCATTATGGAAAAGCAAAACTGGATAAACCAGAATGCTTAGAGACTTGAGGTGGGACAGCAAAATGGATACACTGGACAGAGCATGGTCTTGTTGCACTTAGCAGAGGCTGATTACTGTACTTTAACCAAGTAAGGAGTTTATCCAATATAACAAGAGTCTGGGGGTAGGAAATATATGGATAGGGAAGGCACTTGAGGAAACAGGCCCCTTACCCCTCCTGCTTCACAATGCTCAGCACTTACAAATGACTGCTCTACTTTGACACTGAATCACAATCTGGACAAGAGAAAAGACAGGTTAAAAGTAGAAAGCTTATGCCAGCTGAGCAGATCTTTATAGAAAGATGTAGGTATCAAGGAAAAAATAGCTTTCCATGAAGTAACTATTGATCTAGTTTATTGGCCAGTGGAATAGATGACCACCCTAGCTGGAAGGGCATTTATGGAGGTATTTTAAATTAGTTACTATTATCTGAAGCAAATTCATGATTCTGTTACAAGGAAGAAGAGTACATACTGGACAGACAAACCAGTAATGTCTATCACATTTGATTAACTGAATTAAGTGCCATACTTCATATTTTAAATCTTGTTATTAGACATTTTAAAGAATGTATTTCATCCATTTCCACACAATTCAAAGTTCACCACACAGGTCATAATGAAGTTTTCTTTTGGTTATTGTTTCTCAACTTACCTGATATTTCAATAAGAAATGATAACTTATGATACAACCACTTGATGGACAACTGCACAGTCATATGAAAAATGTGTAGCAAAAGATTTGCACAAGCACTTCACAAAAGTATCTAAATGACTAACGACAAAATGAAAAATATGTTCACCTTTGTCATTGGAAATATGCAAATTAAATCCATAATTAAATACAATAATATACCTAACAAAATATTTAAAAAGTAAAAAGACACACAATATCAAGTGTTGGTGCAGATGTGGAGCAACTGAAATCCTCATACAGAAATTATTAGAAAAATCTTCAAAACTTCCTTTTCCTGCCAAATAAAGAAGCAAATCTTGAGCAGAAAGCAGTGCTACAGTCTGTATGTAAACAGGAAAAATAGGGCTAGTCTGAGTGCAGATGCCAATGGCAGCTCTGTGAGGAGCTGAACCAGATACTCCTGCATTTAGGGGGCACCACAGAGAGGATGAAAGTGCCCCCAGGTTGCTAGTACCTTGGACATATAGTAGAAGCAGATACAAACCATTTTTGAAGAAAAGTATCCTCAATTTAGGCCATTAGATTTCCCACATATTAAGAGCAAGGAAATATCATTCACAATCTTTAAGATAACCAAGTGTACAAGGAGGCAAGTCCCTATGGGTGAGACAGATTAGAAAAAATACACGACTTGTTTAGATACTAGAATTGTCAGATATAAATACAGAGTACAGAATAAGTAGGTAAGAAACATTTAAAGAATGAAGTATGAAACCACAAAGATGGAGGAAGAATACAAGAGTATCAGGAATAACTGGGAAGACATGCATAACAATAAAATGGAACTTCTAAAATGAAAAATAGACTTTTAGAAATTAAAAAACCTCAGTGTATGGGTTTAACAACAGATGAAACATAGCTGAACAGTGATCTGGAATACACAGCTGAGGAAATTACCCAGAACAGAGCACAGAGAAGAGTAAGAAGATAAAAAACATGAAAGAAGACATATGCAGAACAGAAGAGGAAATAGAAACATATATATTCTGAATTCTAAGACAGTAGAGATAACTGAGAAAAAGGAATAATTGAAGACACAGTGATTGAGAATTTTACAGAAGTGATGACAGATAAAAATCTATTTTTCTAAGAAAAAGAAACCCAAATGTAAACACATCATAGTGAAACTGTAGAAGAGCAAACACAAAAAGGTTCCAAAGTAGCCAGAGGAAAAGAGACAAATCATCCATAGTGGTACAACAGGAATGCCAAAAACCAGAATGAAATGGAATAACATCTGGCCGGGCGCAGTGGCTCAAGCCTGTAATCCCAGCACTTTGGGAGGCCGAGGCGGGTGGATCACGAGGTCAAGAGATCGAGACCATCCTGGTCAACATGGTGAAACCCCGTCTCTACTAAAAATACAAAAAAATTAGCTGGGCATGGTGGCGCGTGCCTGTAATCCCAGCTACTCAGGAGGCTAAGGCAGGAGAATTGCCTGAACCCAGGAGGCGGAGGTTGCAGTGAGCGCACCATTGCACTCCAGCCTGGGTAACAAGAGTGAAACTCCGTCTAAAAAAAAAAAAAAAAAAGAAAAAAGAAATGGAATAACATCTTCAAAGTGTCTATTTTGCATTGTAGATCTAACCCATTGTTGGAAGATGAAAGTGATATAAAGACATTTTCAGAGAAACAAAAGTTTATCACCAAGAGACCTCTATTAAAGGAACTTCTAAGAGATGTACTTTAGAAAGAAAAATGATCATAGAATGAGGACCTGAGATATGAAAAGGAATAGTAAAATACAAACATGTAAGTACATACATATACACACATACATAAACATCTATGTAAAATAGTGTGAACAGAGATGTCCAGATTTAAAACATTCTGAGGTCCTTGGATTGTCTAGGGGGAGGTTTTAAGGTATTGAACTTAAAACTTTATTGTATTAAATATGCAAGGCAAAAATTTAAGGGTAACACTAAAAGAATAGAAATTGATAGTATAAATTTGAAGAAAATATGGAAAAATAAAACACCCCACATTTTTTAAAGGCAAGGAAGAAAAAAGCAGCATAGAAAAAATGAGACTAATAAAATTAATTCAAACAAGCCAAAATATATATCAATAATTACAATGAATGTAAATGGAATAAACTTGCCCATTAAAGGTTATATTCCATATTGGAAAAAAAATCCAGCTATGTGAAGCTTATGAAACATACAGAAAATTTAAGGACAGACAAATACGAAAGAAGGGTGGGGGAGATAAAAGATATATAAGGTAAACACCAATAAAAACAGAGCTGGGACGTTACTTAATATTTGACAAAATAAATTTTAAGACAAAAAGCAGTATTGGTGATAAAGAGGGCAACTACTAAATGATAAAGAATAAATTCATCAGAAAGGAAAAAATATAACAATTTAAACTTCCATTTCCTAATAGCCTCAAAATATAAAAAGCAAAAATTCATAGAATTTCAGGGTAAAATGGCCAAATGGAGAACTATAGGTACTCCTTTTTCTTTACTGTAAAAATCATAAATAAAACAAGGGTGAATACATTCAAAAGATATTGTATTAGCTTGTGGGATTAAAGATGATTTTTCTCCATTTTCTAAATTTTACTGCTGTGATAATTAATGTACTTTTTTCAAAGATGAAGTATGCAAGTGAAATTTTTTAGATAACTGAGGGCTAATTGTGGTTTTACTAAATTTTGGGGTATTTACAGTCTATAGTTTTAGATCCTGCCCCTAATATTTATCAGGTTGTATACATTTTTTTTTTACATAAATAATGGAAGCACTCTGGTTTGTAGGCTGTATACATTTTAAAGATAATTTCTTGTTTGTGTTTTGCTAAAATTTCAAATGGTTTTTACATGGACTCAAGTGGTTCAGACACCACTTGACTTAACACATTAAAGAATGTGGCTTACTACAGTTTCTGCTGTACTAAAATAAAAGCATTCTGGAAAGAATGCATAATAATGCATTCCAAACTTAAATATGCTACTGATTGTTAATGGCAACATTAGTCTGGATATCTGTATTAGCAACACAGCTACAACTTTTTAGCCTTCTGCCCAGGTATTACAATGATTACCATAGGGATTAGTTACCGTCAAAAAAGTAGAGAAATATACAAATTGGTAATTATTCTTTTTCTCACACGGATACTCCTTTGGATTTAAGTAAACCAAGGTTGTTATTACTAAAGCTCAGTATTCTACCTCTATTTAATCTTTCTGAAATGTGTGATAAGCAACAGTTAGATGAAATAGGAAGAGATCACTGTACACAAATGGAACGTAAAGCAGCATGCAAGGAAGCTGGCTCTGAAGAAAACAATCACAGGTTACTTTATCATAGTACTGAAAACCGAGACAGCAAATGGACTCTTTTTGAATGTATGACGTAAAAACTGAAACTGTAAAATGTAATCTATTCTACAGAATATATTTTTTCATAGTTGTTTAAATTTTACTGTTTGCAATTCTGGAAAAATAACGTGTTGGAAAAGCAAACAGTAATTTAAAATGTATTATTTAGAAATGTATTATATAGAAAAATGACAGGAATTCTAAATTTTTGTGAATATTTTACCCAATAAATGTGTTTTAGAATCTTTTGAGATTTTAATTCGAAAATACTGTTGGTCAAACCCTTTCACTGTTTAAAGCCAACAATAAAAGAACCGGAAAAGAATGTAGTTATTTCCAGCTCTGTGCTATAACAATTAATGACGTCTAGAAATACCCCTTGAGTAAATAAAAATTCAACATCCTTCATTATCATCACTTTATTTCTTCTATCACTACCTTTTTGTGTACTATTTCAATTTGTTGAATTATACTTAAAATGAAGAGCACAAGCATAAATGTACAACTTGATGAATTCTCACATAGCATACCTGTGTAAAAATCTATTAACTTTTAAGATAATACAAGGCCATGATCAAAGGACTAAAGTGATCAACACCCACCACAAAAGGCAGAGTCATAAACAAAAACAATTAAGTGTAATTAAATCAGGTGGGACACACATGTACAAAAAAAAAAACAACAATTTTGGGCTCACATTTTATACCACACAGGTATTCCATATCTTTAGAACATGAGAAAATACACAGTCTCTGTCTGATAGGTCTCTGACCTGGGGTTCTTTTACTGTACTTTTTTTTTTCTCTCTCCAGTAGCTGAACATTGCAAAGGAGTCAGCAGAAAAAATATAAAATTTCAGAGCCAATTGAAGACTTTTTAAAGCAACGTTCTTGTCTTTTCTAGAGATACATTCCTTAATCCTCTTACAAATCGTGACTTTACACGGTGACTTTAAAGGTGAACATCTACTTATGGACGTTCTGGTGCTCTCTTTCCCTTAAGTGGCAGATGGTTTCTTTTAACCTAAAATTGAAGTTGTTGGGGAACTCCTAATTCCACGTCTAGTCCTAGTGTCCACAGGCTACCAAAGATGATACGAATAGCTTCTCAGGCACTCTACCCACCTTTTACCTTTGTTAATACAAATATTTCCCAGATCTGGGTCCCGAAATTATTTTACCCTGCAGAGCAGCAATGTTATGATGTTCATTCAGTAAACTCTTCCCTAGTTTTTAATCTTTGCATTTTCTGCGTATACTTCAAGCCACCAGTAACTTTCCCAGTTACCAAGAAACAGTTAACACAGGTTGCTATTTGTTTTGTTCGGAATTTACGAGCCATTTAACCACACACGTGATTAGCAACTTTAAGGGGGCTCTTCCAGGCAAACAATCCACAGAATGCGAGGCCCCGGGTACCCAAATGAGGCAACAATGAAAGATCGGCGAAGCTCAACAAGGTTCCTGAGCGCCACGGACGCCAGCTCTGATTTCAGGTTTCCGGAGTGCGCCTGCGGGGCTGCCTTTATGGCCGAGGCGCGAAAGGGGTCCAGGAAAGAGGGTGCCCTTAGGGACTTGGAGATTACCGTGGGCGACCCTGCCACCAGCCGCCCCCACCACAAAGAAGAGGAAACGCTCCGCATCCCGTCACCAGGGCAACTCTGCAATCCGACACCTCAAGATTCCGCATCCCGGGCAGCGGATAAAAGAGAAAAGCGCGTCGCAGCCCGGCCGCGGGGCTTCAAGTCGTCTCTGCCACCAATGTTCCTGGGGTGCTGAGAGCGACGCGGGATCCACCCACTCCGCGAACCCGAGGTCCGAGGCTCAGCCATCCCCTGCAACGCCACCGCGCCCGGCCGGCGCCTCCCGCACGTGGCGGCCGTGATTGTCCCGGGGCGGTATCCCTCCGCGCCCCCGCCTCAGTCTCCCCCCGCCCTTCCCGGGACCCTCCGTGCCCGGGCGCCGCGGAAGGATCGCACGCACGCGCGCGCGCACGCCTCGCCGTGTCCGCGAACGGAGGGCGCTGCGGTTAGGAACAACCGCTGCCGCCGCCGGCACAGCAGCTCCGCAGCCTCCCGCCGCTGGGTAGTCAGCCCCGCGACTGCGGGCGGCCGGGCGGCCGGGCGCGCTCTGAGGCTCGCCCCTTACCGCTGTACCCGCGTCCTCCCTCCTCAGCTCCTCGGGGAGGGGGGCGGTCGGTGCCTGCGCAGAGCCGCCTCCTCCCCGCCCCCGCCCCGCCTCCCCCCGTGCTGCCGCCGCCGCCGCCCGCTACCGCCGCCGCCGCCGCCGCCGCCGCTGCGCCTGCTGCTTCTCGCCGTCCCCGCTGCAGTGCGAAGGGCTCGAAGATGGCCGGTTGGCAGAGCTACGTGGATAACCTGATGTGCGATGGCTGCTGCCAGGAGGCCGCCATTGTCGGCTACTGCGACGCCAAATACGTCTGGGCAGCCACGGCCGGGGGCGTCTTTCAGAGCATTACGGTGAGGACCAGTGGCGGCCGGGACTCTGGTCCCTGCACAGGAGCGGGGTTGGCCGTCCGCGGGTGCGCCGCAACATGGAGGGTCGAGCCCGCAGGTGTGCGAGGCAGCAGGCGCTGAGGATGCGGCTACCGGGCGGGCGGGGAGGCCGAGGCCCGGGGACGCCCCCTCGCCTGGAGCTGCGCTGACAGGCGGGGGGCGGCGGCCGGACTCCTCGCCGGCCCTGGCGGGGCGCCCCCGGCGTTCTCAGCGTCAGTCCAGGTGCCCGGGTTGGGGGAGGGGGCACGCACCGGCCAGGGCTAGGGTAGGGGTTCCTTTTTCCGCTTCGTGCGGTTCTCCTAAGGTTCGGTTGAAGCCATGAGGCTTACTATGCACGTCCTGAGGTGGAAGCGAGGGTCGGGGATCCGGGCTGAGGGACGCGGGCCCCGGGTGGAGGTCCCCAGGCTCCCTGGCCGCCTCTTGCTCCGCGGACAGCGCGCCTCCCGCTCCTATGGCTGTGGGAGGCGGCGGCCCGGGTCCGGCCCCCGGGATTCTCGAAGCGACTTTGCGTAGGTTTTCCGGTGTCCAGGCCTCTGGGGCTTGCGAGAGATGTACGCTTACCGCGTAGGTGGATTCGTGAATCTCGACTTCAGCTCTAGCTCTATAGGTTTTTTTTTTTTTTTTTTTAATTCTCCAAGATGGCGAACTGCCATTGATTTCTCTTCTTCTCATATGGAGATTCATCGATATACGGTTATCCCCAGTTACGCAACATAGCTCAAAAGAGGGGTGCTTTTGGGGGGCTTTCAGTAATTGCGAAGACCTGAAGGACACTTCACTTCTCCAAGTCCCTCCCTCTTTAGTGGTGGCAGTAAAGGAACTAATGCAGATTTACGCTACACATTGCCTGATTTTCTTGAGACTTGATGGTTTTGACTTGGTTGCAATATGTTTGGGGACTATTTGCCACTAAGCCTCCAGCTTATTGTTTTGCCTATTTCTGCCCAAGGCTGTTTCTAAAATTGTGATAATTGTGTTAAATATGAGACCATTTCCTTAATTACTTTGCACCAAGCTCCCTTCCCCTTAAACCCCAACACTCAGGTCCCCTATTACGGGTGCTAGTTATTCTTTTACCACTTAACATGGTTTAAAGTCTAACTTTAGAACTCAGTACTTGATAATAGTACTTTAAGGTCTCGTATACCCGCAGTGGACTACAATTCTTGTAGGGAATTGGCATTTGGTCATCAACTTTTTTCCTGCGGTCCTCTTGTCTTTGTGTGTGAGTTCCCGCTGTCTGACTAGGAAGATTGCGGGAGTGTGCTTGGAAATGGCTGGGGCCTGCTATGACTCTGCAGTTCTGATGGGGGCGACGCCTTCTTTCTTATTCATGGAATGTTAGAATGCACGTTTTCTCCTTTCCGGTTCTGGTGGCTACCTCAGTTTCTTTCCCAATCTCCCTCCATTTTCTCTGTTTTACTGTTGCCTGCTGCTGTAGGTGGAATCCACTTTGCATTTCCCCAGAAATAAAACTGATTACTGAGATGGAAGGGGAAGGGAAGTTGGAAAGAAACAGGAGTCGTGGCTAGAAAAATAGGAGGGAAATATGAATTGGAAAAGCACTGATGTCTAGGGATTGACGTCCATAATATCATCAGGGATATTTCTAGCTATTCCAAGCAGAGAAGTGAACAATCAAAGAACAGGCTTTATTTCGGGAGACTTTGAGGCTACTTTAAATTTGATGAAACATGATTGACTGTAATGTGACTGAATGTGATAGACCATCTGTGTTCAAAGAGTTGATGGCTGAATTTTTATGGTTACGTGAACACTTTCAGTTGACTTAATACAGTTTATAAATAACTCAAGTTTGCACTTTGTCTAGTGTCAACTATTTAGAGTTTTTTTGTATAGACTGGTTTTGGTTAAGAGCTGACACTGATAACTGAAGTCAAATCAAATGATGTAAAACATGTAATCATATCGGATTAAGTAATTCTTTAGAAAGACTGAATCTTGGTTTTACATTAGTGAAATGTGGCTGTCTCGCGTTGGTAGTATAAGCTTAGCACACAGCATTTCCTGTTACATCAAGCCCTGAAAGAAATTAACTACAATTTCCATTTCTTTTTTCTTTTTGGTGGGGGGCAGCCAATAGAAATAGATATGATTGTAGGAAAAGACCGGGAAGGTTTCTTTACCAACGGTTTGACTCTTGGCGCGAAGAAATGCTCAGTGATCAGAGATAGTCTATACGTCGATGGTGACTGCACAATGGACATCCGGACAAAGAGTCAAGGTGGGGAGCCAACATACAATGTTGCTGTCGGCAGAGCTGGTAGAGGTAAGTAAGGTATTCTTTTGGTTAAAAGTTGCATGCCACATTACAACTTATTAAGCACCTTCTTTTAACATTTTGGTTAAAAGTTAGTCCATAATGGCAATTAAGGTGGTTTTTGTGAACTGCTCAGCACTGTGAAGCACTGCTTTAGTTTTACCTACTCTAAGCATCTACAACCTGACCTCTTAGATGCTGATTTTGTTCTAAGAATATTCATATCAACTCACTTTCACCTTTAGGAAACTTAAAAGTCTCTTAAACTGCTTGACATGTCAAATGATAATCCTGTGGTGTTTCAGATTGTTAAATTGTTCAGATCACTTGGTTATTTTAGTCCGTTTCAGTGCGTTTGACTTTTGGATCGCTCTCCTTTTTTTTTCTTGCTTGTATTATAGCCATTTCACTACTCAGCATAAAGAAGGAACAATTAGCATCAGTTCATTTTTCAGTTAGGAACTTTGCCGGGAAAGAGTTAAATAATTAGATGAAAATTTTGGAGTAAGTTGTCCATTCACTGAAATATTTTCAAAGATTGTGTGTCTGGGACTTAGATTTGAAAAGTAGGAAATTACATTTAGTTTGTATACTTGGTCCAAAAATTCAGCTGTCTCCAGATTGTTGTCAACATTATAGAAACTCTTAATTGCACTAAAGAAGTATCTCTACTTTTTCAAAATAAACTTCTGAAATTGAGGTTTGTTATGACATCTGATTGATTTACAAATACATTTAAATGTGTTAATGCATATGAATATTTTGTAAATAGAGAGTGCTTCTGTAGCCTTCCTATAGCTGACTTGGCACATCTAATTTTAATAACAGCTCTACCGTATGAGGGGACTTAAAGCTGCTCTGAGTTATAATTTAATGCTCTGGCTCTACCAGCTCCCTGTGATTATCCTAAAAGTTACTCTTATTCTGATGTGAGTTGATGTTTATAGATATTTATCTATAAGAAAATTAGATGACTTTGAAATAGTGACAAATCTCTTTAAACATTAGCTGCACTCAAAGCTAAATATGCTAAAAAGCGTCCAACACAAGAAACCAGAATATTTTATACTATACAGCACTACTGACATCTAGTGGTAGTGAATATAAAATTTGACATATACATGTATTTTGGGTTATAGACCTTTGAATTGCATCACAGAAGAGCAATTAGAAATCGTAAACGTATTTTTTTAGACGCAGTTTTAAAAAAGGCTAGTATGGTAAAGTTATCAGTAAGCACACACCTTAAATACATTTAATTTGGTCTTTTCTGAATGATACTGAATATGCTATTTAAAATTGGATCTTCATTTTCCTTTGGAAATAACAGACACATTTAGCCTCACTGGTAAAACTTAATAGCTTATACTTATCAAGCATGTTAAAATTTGGGGAGTTTGTAAGTAAATAACTCAGCAAGTTTCTTAAGTTATATTTTTGGGGCAAGTAATGACATGTACTTGTCACATCAGCCAGAATATTTTTGCCCTAAAATAGAAGACAAATGATCACTTTTTTTTTTTTTTTTTTTTTCTTCTCTAGCTAGTGTAAAGATAGTTGTATGGAACTTTTGCTTGCATTGATGGGGGCTTCCATGATGCAGTCAAGTTTATTATTTTCTGTTTAATATACTACTAGTTTGAGAGTTCTTTTTGGAGACCTAATTGACTTCAGTGATTGACAGTTCATAGAAAACTAACTTAATGTTCACTTATTAATCGGGGTTCTGTCTGCTAAAACTTATGTGACTTTCTTGATTAACACTTCTTTTGAAACACTTTTCTTCTTTCTCTTTCAGTCTTGGTCTTTGTAATGGGAAAAGAAGGGGTCCATGGAGGCGGATTGAATAAGAAGGCATACTCAATGGCAAAATACTTGAGAGACTCTGGGTTCTAGCTGCTAGGCAGACTGTTAAGTATTAGGGGAAAATTGCTCTTAAACTTTCCTAGCTGTAAGCTTAAGTCTTAATTCTGGAAATTTTATTAGCAATGCAGGGTGATGGGGTATGAACCTGTGTCTCCTTTGTATCCCTCTGTTGGTGGGGAAAGGTGTCTTTCTTTCTGCCCTCCCCCCCTTAAATAATTCTGTTCACTTTTGTTTTGTTTCCTTGTGTACTCCAGCA